AGCAAAACTTATATTTTCATCCTCGTGATAGTTAAATCGAGTCTCAATGAGATTTAAATCTCTCAACAGTTGAAGATTAAATTACATAACAAATATGATCTTAGTTTTTACTTGAGTGCCTTATAAAAAGAGATACCGCAACGCAAAGTTAAAATGTGAAAATTTTTATTTTATAATTTTAAGAAACATCCATGTCTTTTAAATGTTTTTTACATTTATCATATATTTGATTTATGTTTCTGCATTTAAAAATATTTGTGCTTTAATTATATTTTTTGTTTCGTATTATCAGATATAACTTTAAAATGTTTTATTTTAAGAAAATATATCTTGTTATTCATAGCTCAAATTTTTTACAGAAACATTACGTATTTTTTAAATTTAATTTAATTTAATTTAATTTATATAAGCTATATTTACAACATAAATCATTATACTTTATTAAATAATTTTTAGATATTAAAGCAACGTAGCATTAATATGTGCATTAAATTTCATTTAATTTTATTATATTAATTTTACTTAATTGTGTTATTTTTTCGAGATATTAAATATTTTTTTTAGAAAAAGAAAATTTTTAAATAATATATGTTATTTTTGTAGTATTCTTTTAAGATAACATATAAGTTGGCGCCATTTTATTAAAAGATAATTTTGAACAAATAAATTAATACACGAACTGGATTTATTTATCTTATCTATCGAATGTTTTTAAAAGAGTACAACATAGAAATAGTAGTAATATTTTCCCCGGCAATATAAAAGTTTTATATATACAATTTAATTCTTATAATTTATCTCAGGATATATCTAAGAACTAAAATATCCTTTGGTACTGTCTTTTATGTTAATGATTATGACATCGCACGCAGGCCAAAGCACTTAAATTAAGTAGGAAATTGTTCCATTTAAAAAGAGTAATATAGCTTCGAGCAATTCTTCGTAATTACGAAGAAACATTTCATAGGGGAGAACGCCACCCTTCGTGTCAACGACCGAAACGAGCCTATGTTAAGAGGATCACTAAAAAGGTCAGGTTTTATTTCGCCAGAGAAACGATAAATAAAAAGCGCGTTGCAGACAAGTTACTACAGACCACCCTTCCGTACATATATCCCTTATTATCGAGGCTTACCATTGTCGTGCTTCCACATTGTCGGAGGATCCGTCGCTAAAGCTTCGGACTTCGGATGGATATTGTCCAAACGCGAACGAGCGATTTTATCTGTTAGCGCGACCACAAAGAGGATGCGACGGCAGTCGCACGGCTCGTCGGGTTCGCACGTGTTTTGTTTCCATGTAGCGAAGTAAGCGAGACGAAACGTCGGAATTTCGTGAAACGACAGTACAAGACTACTCTCCTTTACAAAAGACGAGATGAATCTCTTTCGTTTCTTTCCCCGTAACCGACGATGCGTGTAAGCTCGCAGTCGCAACACTCCGAGTCCTGGATTTTCCGCCACTTCGAGATTCATCCTCGAGGGCTCGCCATCGAGGAGAGAGAGAGAGAGAGAGAAGAGAGAGAGAGAGAGAGAGAGAGAGAGAGAGAGAAGAGGGAGCGCG